GATTTGGCAGTGAAGTTCAATTATAGTTTTAGGAGTGGTATCAAGTATGTTTGTGTTTAGAGTGTATTGTAATGAACTGTTAATAAGGTTGTATAGCAGTTGATCAGATGAATATATTATCCAATGAAAGTAAGAACTGGTTTCATAGCATTGGTGACAAGTTAATGGATATGAGTAGTATTGTTTGTATAAAGTATGTGAAGTAGAAAGATCATTAAGTAGGATTTTAATTCTAAAAGATTTAAAAGCAGAAGATTGGAAGCTATGTGAAAAATTTAAGATTTTTTAATTGTTGTTAATGTATAGCCAAGTAGTTTGCCAATTAATTTGGTTAAAGATTTTGTTCTATTTTTGAAATCAGTTTTGTGTAGTCCATAAAGCATAAATATGTTCATGACAGATTGTATGAATACTGCAACAAATAGATAATTCTAAAAAGAAGTTTTCAAGATTTAGAGTATAAGATGGATTATAAATATTGTATGACATAAAAGTTAAATATGATAGGTTATAATGGTTTCATGCTAGTTGGTCAGCAAGGTTGTTGTACATGTTGTCTTAATATGCAGTTACTTTGTGAAAAATAATTTGAATTTTGTATAAGTTGACAAAGTTAATTAGTGAGTTCTATAATAAAAAGTATGATGTATATGTATAGGATAAGGTTGTAGAAAAGTTTACAATATTTTGGTATTTGGAAATTACAGATTGAGAATTTGTATATATGTTTATAATAGTATTTTTAGAGGCAGTAATAAGAGCAGATAGAATAGTAATAAGTTTAGCTTTAAATGAACAAGGGCATAGTTTTGTTTGAGCTTGGAATGTATATAATATAGAGTTATTAAAAATTTGGACCTATCCAATACCTATAGAGCATTGTAAAGTACTCAAGTTAATAACAGAACCATCTGTGTAAAAGTGAAGTTCTAACAAATTAGTATTATAGTTGGCTATTTGTTGAAGGTTGTGTGTAAGTGAACAAGGTTCAAAAATTGTATGAATTGGTTAAATAGCAATAGTAATATTTGGAGAGTTTGGAATTTGAGTGGGATGTCGAATTGCAATAAAATATATAAGGTCAAGATAATTAGCATTAAAATTAAGAGTTTTGTTATGATTATTAACTCGATCCAAGAATCGAGTTAAGAGATTAGTAGGGATAGCAATTATACATTTGTTAGCAATTGTTTAAGAGTTAAAAGAACAGCCTAGACATATATATGATTGAATAGGTGGAAGGGGATAAAGTTGAGTAAATTGTGATTCAATATTATATTGCCAATGTGTAATAAGAATAGACCCAAATGCAGAAGATTGCCTTCTGGCTTTGTCAGCAATGATTTTATCATCAAGTACTATAATAAGCCATGGTTTTTTGTGAAATGAGAAGTGTCTGATTGTATAACTATAGTAATTTGTATCAGGTAAGTGTAGGTATTGGTAAAGTGTGTGATTGTAAGAGTGGCTTATAACTTGGTCTTCTAAATAAGTAAACCAAAGTGGCTATTTGCCTTTAGAGATCTTGTAAATACAAGAAGAAATATGTTTCCAGTCCAATAAGCATGAGTTGTCAAATGTAGTAAGTTGATCAAAGTATAGGATACCATGATGCTTAAGTTGTTTTTTGAAAGTTGGGTATTTTGGATGTGAGAAAAGCAAAAATTCTAATAAGATAGAACCTTGTTATATAGTGTGTAGAATATTGTAAGTTGGGTTAGAAGTGAATATAATATCAAGATGTTTAAAAAGTTGAATTATTTTAAAATTAGTAGTATGTTTGTTTGGTCTAACAATAATAGGATTTTTATGAATTAAGATGCTAGTAGGTGACCAGAGATTGTTTTGAAGCTGTTGAAGCCGAATGCGAGTGCTAATACCAAGAAGATCAGGAGAGTTAAGTCTTTTAGTATAATTTGTAATATGATGTTAAAGTTAAATATCCTATATATTTTAAATATTATATAGTTGAGGATGGAGTAGTATACTAATAGAAATTGTACAGCTAAGTTTGGCTTTGCTTTTGACAAGTTCAATGTGATTGGTAAGAATTTTGTTACATGTGTTCTGACTTAGAACAATGTTATAAATGTGATATTCAATTGTAGAAATAATAACTGTATTGATAATATATTGTGCATATGTATCAGTAATTTTTTTAGTACTTGCAATTTTTATAAGATGTAATAATTCAGCTATAATAAGCTTAGTTTGTTTTGTTTGCTTGTTGTTAAGTGTAAACCAGCATCCTAAAAATTTAAATAGTTTATTTGAAGAATGGAGGTTAAGTAAATGATTACTGTAAATAATAGAACTGTAATTAGTTGAAAGGTTATTAGTTGTAAGTATTGATTTGGTAAAATTAATTTGGATATTGGCCATGTTGTAAAAAGATTCTGCTATTAACAGAATTTGTGAGAGTTCTTGTTATAAAGATGCAATCTATAGAGTATTATCTATATAGACAAGAACAGAGCAGTGGAATTCAAGTTTGTTAAATGTTTGATTTTTAAGATTAGTTAGCTAGAAAACTTTAGTGTTGTATTCATAAAAGTTATTGTAAATGTATGAGATAAGTGAGTCATAGTATATTCTTCATAAAAGTAGAGTAATAGTTTCTTCTTAGTCAATACCATTATGGACTGAATATAAAGAGGTAAGACTAAGATTTGTAATAACTTGGTTTTGTTGATCAGTAAGTAGATTAATAATAGTGTTGGTAAAAGTAGCAGAAAGGGCAAGACACTGCAAAGAGTATTTAAGAAGTTCAAGATTAACTAAATTATAAGCTTTGCTTATATCTTAAGACAAAAGCCAAATTAATTTTTGATTGCATGATGCATCTTCAGTAAGGTTATTGAGTATGTGTATGGGTATTGAGTAGTGTTGGCATTTGGACTATGTCCAAATTAAATTTTAATTGAACATAGACAAATATGGACATGGACTAGTCCAATAAATGTCCATGTTCAAATAATGGGTCAAGTTCAGAAATACTTTTTATTACTATACTAATCAACAAAATCACTGTACATGATATATTAAATAAGATTATATAATGCAACAGGCAGAAACACAAAAATATTATTTTAAATTAAAGTATAAATTTTGATTAATTTGGATAAAAATTTTGATTTATTTCGATTTGAAAGAATTATTGGCTGAAATTCTAATAATATTGACAAAATCACATGCTAAGATAATTAGTAGTCAATTATTATCTGATTACAGGATAAAAATTATATCCAAAAATTTCAAAATTTGAAAAAAAAATTTCTTTTTAAAAAATTTCTGTGTTCCTAATGACAGTGCACAAAATTTTCACATAATATATGATTTTTCTCCAAGTGTTTTTTCTTAACTAGAATTTAGAAGCCATAGTCAGAAGTAGTAACTGAACTTATATAAATTTGTGACTCATAAATTAAACTAAGAAGATGATTCGAATTTGAATTATTCAAGTCATGAGTTGATAAGTTTAGTCACTAGTCAGAAGTCATTATTATAAATAACAGAAATTTTTCATCAGTTGAAAAGTCACAGTAAAAATTTTCTTACATAGACAGAAATCTCTAGCATTTTACTTTCTATAATCTTTCCAACTAACATATTTGTGACTTTCTATTTCTATTAACCTTCTGTGACATGTATAATTATTACATTATCATCTAACAATAGGTGAGAAAGAACAGATTCAAAAATTATATCTAAACAATTAATTTATATAATATACAGATAATAACTAAGAACAAAAACTTTTAAACGCTATTGATTAAAATATGTTATTATGTAGCTGATTATTTTTAACATTGTATATCAGCCTTTCTCAAATAAATTATATATATATGCAAATGCGAATATGATTCTATTTAAGTAATATACATACAATATCATGTTTATATAGATTGTGCACTATTTATCTAACAATAAATATTTGCTTTTAACTAGTGCTCAGACTTATGCTATTTCAGATGAAAATTCACAGAAATTGCATAAGTCTAGACACTGCTTTTAACCCAGAGCGGAATAATATACAGATTTCTGAACATTTTACTGATGCCAGGTATTGTAAGAAATAATTTAACTATAATAATGATAGATAATAATCACAATAAAAAGCCCTTAGTAAATTTGTTGAATATTGGGTTGAGCTGAAAATACTTTTTAGATTGCTGAATTTACTAAAATTGTGAGAATATCATAACTTCTAATTAGTATTTGTATATTTTGTTTATTTGAGACTAGTTGACAAAGAAAACTTAATATTAATATGTATATAAAAAGAAATAGGTCTAAAAAAAAGTAATTTGTGTTATAAGGCATTCTCAAACAATTATTCTGCAAGTTCAATAAAGAATTTGATCGCCTGTCTATTAGACAAATTAATTTAATTCTTTGTTGAGTCCATTGAGAAGTGATTGAAAACACCTTTTTATTTAGATAGTATAATTACTATAATTATAGTTGTCTTGACTTATTTAAAGACTAAAAAGTAAAAGACTCTATTGTATAAAATAAATAAAGGTCTTTCTAATGTTGATTATACTGATTTGAAATATTATTATTTAAGCAATATATCTTGTAACTAACCATTTATAGTTTATTACTTCAATGAATAATATATAATAATTTTAACTTTAGAAAGGCCCAAATTCAGTAACAATAAATAGTGCAATCATTATAATTATGATTGTTTTGATTGCATAATTTGCCAAATAAAAAGTAAAAAACTTTTTTAATAGTACCATAAGTAGTTATTATAATGTGCTTGAAATTTGTCTATAATATTGCTTAAAGATTAGTTTGAAATTTAAAATTCAAATAAAAATATAAATAAAAATAAATAAATAGATAAAAACTTTTTAGAAACAAAGTTTGATTAAGAAACTAAGTAGCAATCTCAAAGTTGCACATTGATAATTTTGCTGTTTAAATTATCTTTACTTACTTATCATATAAATATAGGCAAACAACCTCATTGTCTATCAGAATTTATAATTATGCTTGATAAACAAGTAAATAAAAGCAATAAATTTTGTATCTGTCAAGAATGTGTATTAGGTTCTTCTTATGAAGAAGCATATAATAATAAGTTTGCAAACACACAAGAACTTGTTCACCACTATTTAAAAAATTGCATATATTTTAAACAAAAATATAATAAATCTGAACAAGCAGAAATTTTAGCTAAATCAGATAAAGTTGTTTTAGCAACTAATAATTGTAAGCATAATTAATTAAATAAATATTGTTTACTTTCTATATATAAAGTTATCATTTTTATTTTTGACTTAGCTTTTCAAGAAAGTATTGATGATAATTCTGCTACTGGATCAGAGGTTTCTTTAGGTACTAGCTCTCTTCAGTCAAAGTTTCAACATAAAAAAAATAAAATAGATTGTTATTTATTATGGCCTTTAAGTGAGGATCAACAGAAGTATTTTAAACAACTTTTACTTAAAGCAACTGTTTCATGTGGTTGGTCTTTTTCTTGGGTAAAAAACTCTGAAATAAAGGCACTCTTTGAGTTTCTCTATCTACCAGTTAAACTACCTTCATGAAAAAAGCTCAGTGATCAAATTTTAGCAGAATATGCATAAAATCTAACTAAATCGATCAAAAAAATAGCTTAAAGTGATAAAAATGAAATTACATTAGCATATGATGACTGAAAAAATATAAAAAAAGAGTCAATTTTATGAAGTGTTTTAATTACCTCAAAGGGTAATATTCTTATTTGGAGTGCAAAAAATATATCAAATGAATGTACAAGATGGCCTAATATACAATATCGAACAGAAAATATGCTTGATGATCTAAAAAAAAAGCAAATAAAAGTTATTGCTGTTGTAACAGATTGCGCATCTGAATATGAAGCAGCTAGGTAATACATAGTAACTCAATATAGCAAGCTCTTGATATAACAAAGATTAAATAAAATCTTGTTACAATAAACCAAGGTTTAGGTTACAATATTGTAAAATATATTATATCAAGAGTTACTGTAAAATTAGATATAGTGTATTGTTAATATATTTATATTAATTTTTTTTTATCTTTTTAAATTTAGAAAATGTTTACGATATGTACATCTAGAAATTATCTTTATCCCATGTTTTGCACATTAAATGAATTTGTGTGTCAGCAATATTTTTAAAAATTCAAACATATTGTCTGTTGTTGCTGAACAAGCCATTCATCTTGTATTCTTTTTTTATCAGTCAACATTTTTTTTAAAGCATCTTCGTTCAGAACAAGCATCTATATATAAATCATATATTTCTTTTGTGTTTCTAAATTGTACTCGATAGAATAGTCACTATTTGTATTTTGCTAGCATTATTAGGTCTTGTGCTGCACTTAAAAATTTAGCTACAAGAATAGAAGAAGATAATGATAATATTTTTAAAGGTTTTCTTAGAAGTATCCTTTTTAATATTTCAGACAATGAATGATAAAAAAACCTTATACAATTAAAGATTCTTCTCAAACCATATATAGCATTATCAAATAAACTTCAACATAACAAAAGCAATCTTACTGAAGTTTTATATAGCTTCAGATAGATATGCCAAATTATTAAAGGTATTACTAATCAAAATCTTAAAGATTATTTACTAATAAAATTAGAAAAATGATGGTCAGCCTGGGAACAGCCATTACTATTTTTATCTTTTTTGTTACATCCAACTTATCATAATACACAATTTAACCAAAATCTTGATGATCTTTCTCTTGTATATATGGGAAAATGGATTGTGCACTATTATAAATCCTGGTTTGGTAAACCTTCACACTCTATTTTGGATAAATTGCAGCATTATGAAAGTGAAGAATATCCATTTAATAAAGAAACATTTAATCAATTTGGTGGTAACTTGCTAAAATATTGGAATTTTTGCAAAAGAGTTGCTGAAGAATTGCATCTTGTAGCAGTTTGTATTTTTTCAGTTTGTATAACTACAGCATTAGTAGAATGATTATTCTCTGTAATAGAATAGTATCACTCAGATCGATGTAATCGACTTCAGGCAAATATTTTTTTTAATATCGATATATTATAATTTATTGCCAATGTGATATGTTATTACTCTATTAGACAAACCAGAATGAAATTAGAATATTAAATAAAAAACCATCTCTTTCATTTTAACAAAAAAAATATTTTTCAAACTGCCAACCTTAACTAGAGATACAGTAAAAACTGATATAGTTTATGCTATAATATTTTAAAGCTTATATTATAACTAGTTATGGCATAAGCTATAGCAGTTTTTACTGCACTTCTAACTTTAACTATTATTTTTGCATAAATCGTCTGTTAAAAGTAATTATATATTGCATTGTGATAAAATATCTAATTAGTTATGAAATTATTTATATTTATCATATTTTATATCTAATAATATAAAAAAGTTCTTGCCATGAGCCAAATAAGATCAGAGCTTTTACATTCACAAAATATTACAACAATTGACAAGTCATTAAAAATATACAAGCAAAATATTGCAACTCCATTTGAACAAATAAGTCATGATAATGATAGTAAAGTAGAATTTATATTTTCAGATGAAGACATTGATAATAATTATATTAATATGGAAGATGTTGGAAATAGTAATCATATAGAAACAGTTGAGTGTATAGATGACTAGAAAGTAATTGTAAAATGATGAATAAATCTAACTAAAGATAATGATCATATGCAATATAATTCAGCTAGTTTAAATGAATCAGAAAATTTAGATAACTTATATGATGAAGATGAAGTAATGTATCAAGATTATTTACTTCATCTTGCAAATAATTTGAAAGCAAAGTGGAAATTAACAGATATTTTTGTGGATTTGTTAGTACAACCTGATTCTATTCATTTGCTTTTAGGTGATTAAAAACGTAAGTAGCAGACTTATTTACAGTAAATGCATATTTAACTAATTAATTAAAAATTAACTTAACTAATATAATATAGTATTTAATAATTATATACTTGCAGACTTCAATATATCATTAGAAATTAACTCAAAAATGTAACAGCTTTAAATAATAGCAGAAAAACTTATTAACAGATATAAAAAAGTGTTTGTAAATTTAAATAATTATTAGAAATTGACCTAAATAATGAAATAGTATTAGCAAATTAAGAGTCATTTGCATATTTAATAATTATTAGATAATTGTGAAAATATATTAGCAGATAAATAATTATAAATATAGACACATTGGTGGTATTTCACATTTATTAAGCTTGTAAGATGTTTAAAGTTGGGAAGGGTTTTTAAAAATAGCATTGGCTGTTTAGGCTATATATAACAGTTCATAGGTTAATACCATTTAAGAACATTTAACTCAAAGATAAATACAAATATAAACTAAAATAAAAGATAGAAAATATTTCAAATAATAGTATAATTGATCTAAGTATTATTTTGTTTTGCATTTTTATCACTTCTATAGTAAATAAGCATCTATTTGATATAAAGAAGAGTCTTGCATCTAGTTTCACAATATATTCTTATAGTCTATATATATATATATATTTTTTTTTTTTAACCTTAAGCAGTTACACTAGTATTTTATTAAGATTCTTGAAACTATATATCTATACAATTACATAGAATTTCCCAACATTTAAGTCTAGCATCACTCGGCCACCCTAATGGTACCTAAATGCAACCTGCCACACTATTCTAGTTAAGAATAGACTGCTCGTCTAACTACTTAAAGCCATACCAGAAGGGTCTTCCTCCTTCTGTGACAAGCATATTTATTGTCTTTAAAGCTTCTTTTTTCATTTGGTCTGCCTTTTCTGTCTTCTGTTCTTTTATTTCTTCCTTAGTTTGTTTATCTTTCTTTATTTTCTTCTTTGGTTTACCTTTTGCACGAGCATCTTTTTTCATTTTGTTCGTTATATTGGTCTTTTTCTCCCAAGCTTGTATTTTTTCACATCACACCCTTCATACTTGGTCGTAGAAAGTGTTCTATACTGTTCTTGTGACTATGTTTATGCACTTCTGTGTTTCTTGCTTACTTAGGAGTTGCTTCAATCTTTTTTCTACTTTTATCATTGTGAGTCCTTTTATTAGCACTTCTCTGTTTGTGATTTCTTCTGCTTCTGTTTCTCTGAACAATGTCTTATAAAGAACTTGTGATGGAATTCTGTTCTTCTCCTCTTCTTTGAGTCCATTCCATGCCATTGCTGTTGCAACTTTTTGGATTCATTTCCACAAACTCTTTTGTTCACTACAACTTGCTAGATGTGCCTGTGTCTCTTTTTCTCTGACTTGACATACTTGACACTCTACTGTTGTGTATATTTTTGGTCTTCTTCTGTTTAGCTCCTCAAGTGTTGGTAGGCTATCCATTATGCACTTGAT